AAATAAGACATCTATAATTCAAAATAAAATTAAAATTCTGCCCTTCACCTTTATTTATCTTTAGGAACCTGGATTTTCCCATTAATTTCCACAACCAAAAAATGCATATTTTAATGGTCAACATTGCATCTGATTACAGGTATCTGTTCAAGGCTTGAAGGCTCAATCTTCTCATTAAACCTGACAAGTCTATGAATGTCCTTTACGTCTATCCAGATGAATTTGTGATTTCTCTTTTAGGTCATATTTTCTTTTTTTCCAACAAACCCTGCTTAGTTTCCTCTCCTATATGGAGAATTAGCTCATGATTTTGCAAAAATCAGGCCATCTTTATAAAAAGATAAAGATACTGATAAAACATTGAGCCCCTGAATAAAGTATTTACGTTACAAATACATTAAGGGCCAGTGTGTTTCAGGAATAAAGATGGAACCAGTAATTACACACAAGATAGTAATTTAACGGATGCTGGATGACAATACCATGAACACCCGCAGAGAAGTCACATCGCCGCAAGAAGACAGACTGCATTGAGATTCTAAACTATATATAAAAAACACCAAGACAGCATGCCTGAAACAGTGTTTGGAGTAAATATTTATAGTATCTCAAAACCTAAATTAAGAAGAAAAATCATCAGCACAAAGAATAGACTCTGACCTACAAAGGAGATGACTCCTTCACAAACCTGTACTAACTAGCGTCCGGCTGTTCACGCTACTCAAAGTCATAACTTAGGTCCACGTGCAAAGAAAGAAGCTCATGCATAACCTGGGCCACATTACGGGGCTGGGGGCCCACGAATACTGCCCAGAACACAAAGGAAATGGGAAGGTGGTTCATGAGAGCTAAGAGGGGCGCGAGATGCTGAGAAGCGATCAAATTTAGCTGATGAAAACTATGGCTGAATATTAGGAAGAAATGTCATGATATAATGTTTTATTATAAAAAATGTCCTAAAGTACAGAAATAGCACTACTTGAATAATTTAAAGATAGTGAATTTAATATAAATGTTATAAGCCAGGTACCTACCATTGCTTAAAATGCTTACTGGAAAATACCAGAAATAAAGTTTTATAACTACACTATTTCAGTGGTTGTCTAAAACGCTGTAATAAAAAGTAGACAGAAAATCTTTATCTAGTTTTTATTTTACTCCCTTTCTTCTTACTAAATGTATGTTAACAAAAAAAACACACACCCTCAAATGATCTAGACAAAAGCTTTTAGCTCAACACATAATTGCAAGAAAATTACAATAATTGTACCAATTAAAATAATCTTGAATGAACAGTATGTCATCTTAATGTTCCAATGGTTTATAGAGGGATCTACTTAATTAGCTGAAATTGCTTTCCAGTGTTAGTATCAAATGTCATTTGCTAAAAGTTGAACAATTTAGAAAATAATTTAACAAAGCAATTTTACCAAACACCAAGAACCAACATCTTCCTTTTCAGCCGAATAAAGCGAGCAGCTGTGTCATCAAATTGCTATAAAAGTAAATGAGGTTTTTTATGGATTAAAAAAAGTTTACTACTAGCGTTAAAAACACTATTTTCTGATTGTTTTTACCAAATCAGATTTCTTTAATAAAATAAATGAATATCAATTATATGCTGCTGCTTTTTGTCTGCTGTAAATAAAACTTTTTATTATTCAAACGACAAACAATAGCATCAAAGAACCAGCTATGGTTAACTAGAAACAGGCATCAGTCTTTGTCCAGCATGTTCCAATATATATGATTTTTCAAAATGCGGGTGGAAACTGTCTTCCCATCATTTTTCAGTCATATCATCTTAACTTTATTTTGAGTCAAGTTTTTCATGAATCTCAAAGATTCTTACTACACTGTCATCTTCTCTTCCTTAGAGTATCTACAAACAATCTTTAGAAGTCTTTGTAGGCCTATCAGACATATCTATTTCTAAAAAAAAAAAAAAGGCGTCTCAAAATCACCGTGAATCCCACCCATTCATAAACAGCAAGCCACCAAGGGCTGAGGTCTAAACTGACGGGTTAAGGAAATGGCAAAACAAAGTCTCATCACCTCAATGTACCTCCAAGAAGACATGACTTGGGTTCCCTGGGCTTCAATGTCCTGAGTGTGAGTGGGGTCAACAGTCCCTACTAAGCAACCACCTCACTGCTGACAGCAAAAGGAGCTGGCGGGAAGAGCTCTGTGCCCAAGGAGACAGGACCCACGAAGGTCCTGAAACTCTGAGCCACGCCCTCCCCGCCGATAACCCGAGCCCCGGGCACCTCCTCTCCTCTCCTCTGGGGCTTCACAGGGATCCGGGGGCACCACGGAGGCGCCCCACAGAACGGGCCGAGGAAGCACCGCACATCCGCCGGAGGTGGCCAGGCTCCTGCTCAGCACCCCGCCTGCCCTCCTCAGACAGGGGCCCAGACAGACCCACCCTCCTTCCCACGTTTCCAAATTTCTTGACAGCAGATACATTCCTCTAAGAACAGTATCATCGGATATTGTTCTAAAATGAATCTAAAACTCCAGTTCAGAGTTCCCAAATAAAGGCTTACCCTTTTCTCTGACAGATTTTTATTTACATCAAAATAATTTCTCAGGAATAAAATGAGGTGTGAAGGACTGTCTAATTAAGGCTTTATATAAAATACCATGTGAAGAATGAATCCCATTATATGAGTGTGAATTGTTATTACGTTAATACTTTTAAAAGTTACTTTAGCCTGGCCGGGCGTGGCTTAGCGGTTAAGCATCGACCTAGGATCCAGGCAATCAGGGTTCGATTCCCGGTCAGGGCACATGCCCGGGTTGCGGGCTGCGGCCGATCAATGACTCTCTCATCACTGATGTTTCTAGCTCTCTCCCTCCCTCTCCTTTCCTCTCTCTGAAATCAATAAAGATATATAAAATAAATAAAAGTTACTTTAACTGTTTGATGATACCTGTGCTCATCTGGCAAACGTTCATCACTGTGTAATGATGAAAATATTTATTCATGAAATAAAACAATATTTTACTACACGCCAAACACCTCTCATAAGATTTCTGAAACATCAAAGGGCAGGTGCAATTCAGCGCCACGTGGCTAGCGGCCTGTGGCATCACGCGTCACTGCCATGCACTGGACGCCACACTTGGTTCAAACGACCCATTTAGTTGAGCAAAAATCACACAGCAAAACTGAGCAGAGCTCAAACTTGCAGACCAATCCTACACTGTCCCTGTGATTCCAGAGCCAGTCACCCACATGAAAACACGAAACAGAACAGGAACATGAGCAGTGGGGACTGAAACACGGGGACCACGAGCTGGCAGCCCTCTAAGGAAAGGAGAACTGTCTGAAATCTTCAGTGTGAGCTCGGCACTAAGTGATTTCTTTAGGGTTATAGTCCACTTACACGTTCAAAATAGTAGTTCCAATTTTACTGAGTTTTATAAAACTGTTTGCATAGTTCCTCTGTGTTATATACACATATTTTATGTTTTATTGACTTTTTAGGAGGAAGAGAGGAAAAGGACAGGGACACTGACGAGAGAGAAACATCGGCATCAACCGCTGACCCCTCCCTGCATGCCCCCCGCACACCCCCGCTGGGGATCAAGCCCGCAACCGGGCATGTGCCCAACCTGAATCAAACCCGTGACTTTCTGGTGCCTGGGATGATGCACGACCACTGAGCCACGCCGGCCAGGCTGTGTTATATTTTTTCTAAGACAGTTTATTTAGAGCAGCAACTGAAAATGTTGAAGGTATTAAGTGTTCTGATAAACAAAAAGGATTTATAATTTTAGTTCTGATTTTGACAATAAATCGGTAACTCTCAAAGCTTTACGTATTTGACATGTCACAGAACCTTAACTGCATGTCTTTCAACAAAAATGTAATCAATTTCATCAGTAGAAATTTTAAAAGGACTTCAAATGACTGAATATAAAAGGACAATGAAATCCCTTATTATTTAATGCAGAGAATGTTTTCCAGTCAGTCTTCACAGCTCCACAACCCTCAGATATGAAGCTGAGAAAATATTTGCACTGACGACCTGGAAAGTGCAACCTCCTCAATATTCTATGAAGGCACTTAGAATAAAAAACGGAAACACGTGATAATGTGTCCAGCATTGCATTTCATATATACAGAGACATAAAGCCAACAGGACTGCTAATTAGACACCTTGTCACATAGGTTACACTGGAAGGAAGCTGAAGTGTTATATGGCGGGATATACAATTGTGCTAATACAACTCCTAAAGGAAATGGGATTAGAATCATTCATTAAATTGGAGGGTCCATTTTATACATAATATTTTGCATTCATTATGCTTTACATGCATTCACTTTTTTCTGAAAAGTCAACTCGATCTAAAATAAAGTCAAATACAGAGGTCAAATTACCTTTCGTAGATGGTTTTCAACGTCATCTGGTCTGGAATGCCTTCAGTCTCTTCCAAATACAATATGAGCCATGAAGTTCGGTATGGCCACTGCTCCGTGAGGTTGATCCAGCTGGCAAGCCTGTCCCAGTTGAAACTGATCTGATTGGCTCTCAGTAATCGCCCTGTGAGGAGTACGAGAACATTTTTAATTAATAGATGTGTAATGTTATGCTAAGCAAAACATTTAGCATATTCACAAATAATTTAACTTTCCTAAATCTTTAAAATTTGCCATTTAACGTACACAACAAATTCAAACCAACTATATATATACACACACACACACACACACAATTATATACATGCACACACACATACACACGCATACACACACATATACAAAAACACATATACACACACACATATATATACATACATATATATACATACATACAAACATATAGGTTCTATAATCCAAAGAGCTCTACTGGAAAGCTTCTAGGGCTTAAACCCAATTCTATTTAATTCTAACAATTTTTCGTGGGACTTCCCACTGGTGCTGCGTTGACCACACTGCTCTGACCCCATCCATGCAGGCAAAAACCCTTTAGAGCTGGGTGTCGGACCCTCTTGACACTACCCACAGCCACACAGCAGGGGGTCGCTGCACCCGTGCCAGGCCCGTCCTCTAACGTGGTGCCTCAGGGCCTGCTGGGGGCCTTCAGCAAACCCACACGTGCCGCCTGCCCCATGTCTGTGGGTGAGTGCGCCGCCCCACACGCACACTCGCTGTTCCGTGCTAAGGTGGCCTAAGGAATAACCTGCCAGGTGAGCGGTTCACAAAACCCCATTACTTGTTCTTAAATCCTGTCTACCCTGGGGCCTTCTGAGACCCCAATGCAGTGTCTGGTGCGGGCAAGCGCCCTCGTGGGCAGCTGCAGTCCTCGGACCTTCAAAACCGGTGCTCTGCTTTGCTGCCTCATCATTTGATCCTGCTTTGGGGATTTTGTTGGGAGTGCAGAGTGCGGGCATTGTTGCTTTTTCATTGTAAACACTGTCAGTTTTACTTGAATGTCATCAGTTCAGTTGATGCCTAGTTGCGGCGGCTCCGGTATGAATTTCCCTTTCCCTCCTCCTGACACAGAGCCCCTTCCAGTTCTTCCCGCACCCTCCGACCCGCCCTCCCGTCCATCTGCTTATTCACGCAAACGACGCCATCATCGCCCGACTCCTTTTTCTTGGAAAGGGGGACCTGGTCTGCTAGACAGGCCAGGCCCTTTACCTTCCACCCAATTAAACCTGAGATGAACGAGACGATGTTTTTAAATCAAGTTTTAAAATAACAGTGCACACCTGACGGTTGATTTTTGTTGTCAACACTGACACTGGTTCTACTAAGCACACTTACTGCAAACAGATGTGGTGCCCAGCAACGTAAACACAGCGCAGCACCGCCCTTCACTTCTGAACTGAACTGCTCTGTCCATGTTAGAGCTTGTTATCTACTACAGGACAGCAAGAAGCAAGGTACCTGTCACAGAGACGATATTCAACAACCGTCGCATGGTCTGGGGACTGATGTCACTGAACCAGTCCTCGGTCACCAGCAGCTTTGTGAGGTCAAAGGACATCTGCCGGGTGATGGTCCGCTGCATCTGCCTCCTCCGGTAGGTGTCCTGAAACGACAGACCACAGTGAAAAGCCCTCACTGCAAGTCGGGGCACTGGGCTTTGTGAGGAGCTAACGCATGTTGGTGACATCAACCAAGGAGAGTCTAAGTCTGCAGCTGAGAAGAAGCTGTACTAACAAAGAACTACTATCACTCCCAGGCAGACCCTCCCGAGCCCTTCAAGCAACAGGGACAGCACCAGCATCACAGGTGAGGGCAGCTCCAGATGGAGTTTGTTTATAGTTGTATAGGCTGAGAAAGCCCAGTGCCTTGGGGATTACAAGCAAGCAGAATTATGTAAAGAGAATTCAATTCAAACTCTTGTAGGAACTCAGGATTTATAGGAATCCTGACATGATAAAGCAAATAACTCCTTGTTTAGTTTTAAGGATTCAGCATTTTTATTTTTAAGTTATTTTTTAACATGTGACAACAGGCACGGCTGCTCTAACTATCCTCACATCTGCATTAAGTACACTGAATTAAAATAACAAAATAAATGGAAGGAACACTACTGGGTGGGCAGGGCGGGGC